CAATTAAACTGCAGGTTGTTGTGTGTGCTTAAAATGAATAGAAATGGCTACTTTTTTGTTTAATAGCATTGACCATCTGACCATTCCTTCACGCTGTGGGAAGGGATCATTGCGTCGCATCTCCGAAGTGTTTGACTGTTGGTTCGAGAGTGGCAGCATGCCCTATGCTCAAGTTCATTATCCATTTGAAAACAAGAGGGAGTTTGAGGATGCATTTCCTGCAGACTTCATTGCCGAAGGCATTGACCAAACCAGAGGGTGGTATGTTCCTTGTTCTTTCAAGTGCTTTGATGATTTGGTTTTATTTTAGCAGTTATTTTACATCTGTGTGCTGGGGAGGTTGTGTCAAATAAGACAAGCTCTACTCCTGCCCTCTACTCTTCACCACCAAGCAAACCATTAGTGTCTTTTGAGTAGGAGTCTTTTACCATGATAGGGCTGTTGTTTTAGAGTTTGAAGTATTTCACTGACAGAAAATAGAGATTTGTTTCACTGGAAGTTTAAGTGATGTAAAACACTTAATATGTATTTATAGATTGTTTTCTTCAAATCATTTACTCAAATGTTTAATGAGTATTTACTTATGAGATAATGGGTTGAGTGCTACAAATTTGAGGGATACTTGGAAATGTACAGATGTTAGGCTAGCCTTACAAAATTAACATTTTTTAAAAACCTAGATTTTAAAAAAGAACATTGGTATTGGTTTTACCTGGTGTCTTATATAAAAAAAAAGCAGTACCTTTGTCCTCTTAATTATAAAAGGTAAGTTACCTTCTCTTTGTGGATGACCTTGGTGGGCCCAGGGTCTAATTATACTTTCATTAGTAATGTTTCTGCAAGAGTATTTAAGGAATATTGGTATTGTTTTCTGCGTTTACAAATTGCAGTAGTCATCACAAACTGATTAAATTCCAGCCTTATTAATGTTTCAGAATGTGCTATTTTAAGTTTCCAATCCATTCCCCTATAGGAACAACTACCAGGCACAAACTCTTACTCTTAGGGCAGCGCAAATGACTCACCACTAAGTTATTCCTCTGAGGAGAGCTCTAGCAACTGATAACAGTCCTTATATGGATCCCTGTGTACATTCTGCCACCCTCTCCTTCCCTCAGGTGTGGGCTGCCTCTCGTAAACACCAGGGTCCTCCTGACCTTCCTTAGAAGAAGGGATGTTTTGTCAGGTATTTATGCTAGGCATGGGGTCTGGTCTCCGCCCTCATCAGTTAATGTCCCATGATGGTCTTGGGGTACAAAATCAGGTTGGAGGTGGCATGAGAGCATCACTTACCAAGACAGCTTACAGGGATGTGATGTAGTTCTTTTAGGGAACAAGCTAACTAGCAAATAAATGACATACGTGATATCTGACAGAGTAAAACATTTTCTGTGTTCTTATAGTCTATCTTTTGACTTTTGGATGAGAATGCTTTTTGCATCTTTTTTTTTTTTTTTTTATCAGACTGTTCATATGACCTTGTGCTAAAGGTGACACACATCTCTTGATTATCAGCCTCGTGTTTTGTGGAGGTCCTAACAGGCTGCCCAGTACTGCCCTGCTCTGCCTTGTAGCTGTCTATCTGGCTCCCCAAGGGGGGCAGTGGTACTCTCCTCTGCTGGGGAGTCAGTACCTCACTCCCAGCTTTTATTTGCTTTAAATAAAGCACATTTTTCTGATCAGAAGTTTTAATATGATTAGTCTACAGTGGGTCCTGTGTGTAATTTTTCAGCAATCCCACCATGATTCTAATATGTCACCAGAATTAAGAGCCTTTGCTTTAAGTGATTTATCAAGAAGTATAACAAAGCTAAAATAGAAATTATCCTCGACCGCCGTGCTACCTTGAACAAGCCCAATCCCGTCTGATCTCGGAAGCTAAGCAGGATCAGGCCTGGTTCCTACTTGGATGGGAGACCACCTAGGAAGACCAGGTGCTGTAGGCGTAAAAATTTTTTTAAAAATAAGGGATTGTAAGCTGACAAGGTCTTTGCAATCTGTGAGGTCAACCAGGGGTTGCCTCCTAAAAACACTTGCACAACAATGCGAATGCACTTAATGCCACTGAACTGTACGCTTAAAAATGGTTGTCATGGTGTATTTTATGTTATACATATTTTACTGCAATAAGAAAGGAAGGAAGGAAGAAGGAAGGAAGGAAAGGAAGGAAGGAAGGAAGGAAGAAAAGAAAGAAAGAAAGAAGAAAGAAAGAAAGAAAAAGAAATTCTCAGTAAATAAACACTGGTTTTTTGCCTATGCTTAGACTCCTTTTCTGTTTATTTGTTTATTTTTTAAACTATTTCTTTGTGGGTTTTTTCCAGGTTTTACACCCTGCTGGTGTTGGGCACAGCTCTCTTTGGACAGCCGTCTTTCAGGAACGTAATTGTGAATGGGCTCGTCCTTGCAAGGCAGGTGCACTCCTTTGTGTAATGACAGCTTCCAAGCCCCCTTCATTTTTGCAGTCATAGTCTGGTTGGATCTAACCATTCTTTGTGAATAGAGGAACTTAGGAATGCCCCAGTTCTTTTCCTACTGTTTTTTTCCCCTCTGCTTTTATACTTCTTGCTGCGTATCCTTTTCATCCAACTCCTGTCCTGTGCACTTCTCCATCTTTAGCATTCTGTCTCCACACATCCTTCTATCTTAGGGAGAAGGGCTGGATTGAGAGCTAAGCCTAATGGAGGAAGTGGAAAGAGAGGACATTCCTATGATACTTCTAGTGATAAAATAATATTTCTCATTTTAGAATTTTATGAAGTACTCATATAGCTCTTATTTAATCTGTACATCGGTTCTTTAAAATACATTTTTGTTGTCCTCTTTTTAACATACGAGGAAATTATAGGTTCAAGAGATTTCTAGTATTATATGAAAGTCTTATTTTTTCTTTGCATCTACTGCCTCTAGTCATTAAAAATAAAAATAAGAAAACAAAAATGTTTACATAGATACCCTGCTTTGTATGCTGTGAGAAGGGGAGGATGAAACCTAACACTTTATGCCAGGCCTTCTTGTAGGCATTTACACATCTTCATTCATTTAATCCCCAGAACTGTTTTGAGTTGGGTCTTTTAATTACTTTGTTTTTGACATTAGAGAAATTTGAAGCGCAGAAAAAGTAAGCAGCTTGCCCAAGGTCACATAGCAAATAAGTAGCAAATTCAAGTTCTATACCCAGGCAGTCTAGCTCTACAGTCCGCAGTTTTAAATTTTGATTAAAAATTTTATTGAATTGTAGATTTGTATGCAGTTTTTTTGTTGTTGTTTTGTGTGTTTTTAGTTTCAAGTATACAGTACATTGGTTAGACATTTATATAGTTTATAAAACGATCCCCCTAATTCCTCATTCTCTCCTCTGCGTCTCCACCTAGCCAGTACATTAATGCTAACTGCATTCCCTGTGCTGTACCCCACATCACCGTGACCATCTATCAACTACTCATTTGTACTTCTTTAACCCTTCACCCCATTCTCCCAACTCCCTCAACCCACCTCCCCTCTGGCCTTCACCAGATTGTCTTCTATATTTGTGAGTCTGTTTCTGATTAGTTTGTTCTTTTTGTTCCTTAGATTTCACATATAGTGAAACCATGTGGTATTTATCTTTCTCTGACTTATTTCACTCAGCATAATAACCTCTGGGTCTACCTATGTCATTACAGATGGTAGGATTTCATTTTTTTTTAATGGCTGAGTAATATTCCATTGTATATATGAATCCACTTCTCTATCCAATTGTCTGTTGATGGGCATTTAGGTTGCTTCCACATCTTGGCTATTGTAAATTGTGCTGCCATGAATATAGGGGTGCATAGATCTTTACAAATTATTGTTTTGGTTTTCTTTGGGTAAATACCCAGAAGTGCAGTTGCTGGGTCAAAAGGTATATATATCCATTTTTAATTTTTTGAGAAACAAACAAACTTTTCCATAGCAGCAATTTGCAATCCCACCAACTGTGTATGAGGGTTCCCTTTTCTCCACATCCTTGCCAAACTTGTTGTTCTTTGATTTATTGATGATAGCCATTCTGACAGATGTGAGGTGGTATCTCATTGTAGGGTTTGTTTGTTTTTTTTTTAATTTTAATTTATATTATATGGTGACATTGGTTAACAAAATCTGGTAAGTTTCAGCTGTACACTTTAACAATAAGGCATATATATATTTACACTCTGTGTTCACCTCCCATAGTTAGATTTCATTCTGTCACCACATATTCGACCCCCTTTACTCCGTCTACCTCTCCCCTCACCCCATCCCCTACCCACTGGAAACCACTAGTCTATAATTCATATCCATGAGTCTCTATTTGTTGTCCTGTTCATTTGTTGCTTTTAGCTTTATATCCCAAATATAAGTGATTTCATGTAATTTTCCATTTTTTCTGTCTGGCTTATTTCGCTTAGCATGATTATCTCGAGGTCCATCCATGTTGTCTCAAATGGCAGTATTTTATTTCTTATGGCTGAGTAATTTTCCATTGTATATACATACCACAGCTTCTTTAGCCAATCTTCTATCGTAGAACACTTCAATTGCTTCCATGTCCTGGCCACCGTGAATAATGCTGCTATGAACATCAGTGTACAATTATCTTTTCAGATATGGGTTTTCAAGTCTTTGGGATAAATACCCAGTAAAAGGATTGCTGGATCATATGGTAGATCAATTCTTAGTTTTCTGAGGAACGTCCATACTGTTTTCCTTAGCGGCTCTACCAATTTACTCTCCCACCAGCAGTGTATGAGGATTCCTTTTTCCCCACAACCTCTCCAACACTTGTTATTACTTGTCCTGTTGATGATAGCCATTCTAAGAGGTGTGAGGTGGTATCTCACTGTGGTTTTGCCTTGCATTTCCCCAATAACTAGTGAAGTTGAGCATCTTTTCATATATTTGTTGGCCATTTGTATGTCCTCCTGGGAGAAGTGTCGGTTCAGGTCCTGTGCCCATTTTTTGATTGGATCCTTTGTTTCTTTGTTGTTATTGAGTTGTATGAGTTCTTCAGATATTTTGGATATTAGGCCCTTCTCAGAGGTATTGCTTGCCTCTGAGAAGGGCCTAATATATTTTCCCATTCAGATGGTTGTCTCTGTAACTTGTCTCTGTAATAGGTTTCTTTTACTGAGCAGAAGCTTTTTAGCTTAATGTAGTCCCATTCATTTAGTTTAGCTTTTATTTCCCTTGCTTTTGAGGTCAAATTTATAAAATCCTCTTTAAGTCCAAGGTCCTGGAGTTTAGTTCCTATGTTTTCTTCTATGCATTTTATTGTTTCAGGTCTTATATTCAGGTCCTTAATCCATTCTGAGTTAATTTTGGTGTGTGGTGATAGACAGCAGTCTAGTTTCATTCTTTTGCAGGTGGCTTTCCAGTTTTCTCAGCACCATTTATTGAAGAGGCTTTCCTTTCTCCACTGTATGTTTTTCACTTTTTTGTCTAAAATTATTTGCCCATATATATATGGGTTTACTTCTAGACTCTCGATTCTGTTCCACTGGTCTGTGTGTCTTTTTATACCAATACCATGCCGTTTTGATTACTGTCAATTTGTAGTATAATTTGAAGTCGGGCAGAGTAATGCCTCCAACCTCGTTCTTTTTTCACTGGATGGCTTTGGCAATTCAGGGTCTTTAGTGCTTCCATACAAATCTGATGATTTTTTATTCTATTTCTTTTAAAAATGCCGATTGGATTTTGACGGGGATTGCTAAGTGTTTTGATCATACATGGATGCTGTATCTTGTCGAAGGCTTTTTCTGCATCTATTGGTATGATCATATGATTCTTCTTCTTTATTGTGCTTATGTGGTGTATCACAGTAATTGATTTCCGTATGTTGAACCTTCCCTGTGCCATTGGGATGAAGCCAACTTGATCATGGTATATAATCTTTTTAATATGTTGCTGTATTTGGTTCATTAGTATCTTATTTAGGATTTTTGCATCTGTGTTCATGAGAGAGATTGCTCTGTAGTTTTCTTTTTTTGTGTTGTCTTTACCAGGTTTTGGTTTCAGCGTAATACTGGTCTCATAAAATCATTTGGGAAATACCGCCTTCTCTTTGATTTTTTGGAAGAGTTTGAGGAGAATAGGTATGAAATCTTCTTTGAATATTTGGTAGAATTCACTGGTGAAGATATCTGGTCCTGGACTTTTATTTTTTGGTAGGTTTTTGATGATTGTTTCAATTTCCATACTGCTGTTAGGTCTATTTAGATTTTCCAGTTCTTCCTGATTCAGTGTAGGAAAGTTGTATTTTTCTGAGTACTAGTCCATTCTTCTAGTTTTTCAAATTTGGTGTTATATACTTTTTCATAGTATTCTTGTATGATCCTTTGTATTTCTGCGGTATCGGTCATAATTTCCCCTTTCATCTTGATTTTGTTTGTTTGTGTCCTTTCTCTTTTTTCTTTAGTGAGTCTAGCTAGGAGTTTCTCAATTTTATTAACCTTCTCAAAGAAACAGCTCTTTGTTACATTTATTTTTTCTATTTTTTTTCATTTTCAATTTCATTTTTATCTGCTCTAATTTTGATTATTTCTCTTCTGCTGACTTTAGGCTTCACTTGTTCTTCCTTTTCTAGTTTTTTAAGGTGAAGCGTTAGGTTGTTTATTTAGGCTCATTCTCGTTTTTGGAAATAGGCCTGTAATGATGTGAACTTTCTTCTTCTGACTGCTTTTGCTGTGTCCAAAATGTTTTGATATGTTGTACTATCATTATCATTCGTTTCTATGTATCTCTTGATCTCTCTTTTTATTTCTTCTCTGACTCAGTCATTCTTCAGTAGCATGTGGTTTAATCTCCATGTATTTGTGGTTCTTCCTGCTTTCATTTTGCAGTTGATCTCTAGTTTCAGAACATTATGATCAGAGAATATGGTTGGTATGATTTCAACCCTCTTATATTTGTTGAGGCTAACTCTGTGTCCCAGTATGTGGTCGATTTTTGAGAATGTTCCATGTGCACTAGAGAAGAATGTATAAGCAGCTGTTTGGGGTTG